GGTAACCATCCAAAATACCCTCTAAGAAATCTATCGCTATATCAACACACCAAACCTGAATTCCTCCTCCGGAACATTCAATTTTTTTTTAATGTTCATTGTTTTAGACGTAAAAAACACAATGAAAAAGAACTATTGGGATACATTCACAAATCAATGAGCCCATGTTGTATCTTCTTCTTCTTCTTGCCCCGCTCTGCACCTCACCGCGTCGTACGGGGCCGGTTACTCTCCCATGCGAGATGTCCTCTTCCAATTAAAGTTTTACCGTTGATGCGTGTTTTAGAGCGCGCGCAAACCCCGGGTCGTAAAGTACCATTCAGTCTGCGGCTGGGTTCCTGCATCAACACCAGGTGCTCCGGGCTGACAGCCAGTCGGGCTGGTCCGACGTGGGAGAATGTTATTCACCCGTGGGCGGCGGGAGAGGTTTACGTAACAGAGAAAAGCGACGCCAATTCATTCAAGTGGTATCAAAAGCAGAAGAGCATGCACTAGGTGCTATTCTGGTGTGAGGAAAGTTCATAGCGTCATTATTGTGTACTCTGTGTCTGCAGTGGATCGTAGGCGGATCTAGCTTCGCAGTTTCTGAAAATCAAGTATCTCTGGAGTTTTTGCATATGTTACTTACCATACACCCACAACCATTTCATTTAGCACGTACTGTTCAGTTATTGACATTTCTCGAATGTATGAACTTCTCAAATAGAATTACATTTCATTTGTACTGTAATAACACTGTGACTCTAATATTTACTTGTTGAATTACGTCTTATTTATAAATCTGTGATGTTCTTACCTTCTGCTGATTGATGGATGATAACACCTGCATTACGTGACAAAACCAACTCAGGAACGGAGTTCAGTAGTGGAACGGTTGACGGTTATGTCTGTAAAGAAACATATTTAATGTCATGAATTCTCATTTTTACATTACGAAGATATTTAGTGGTTTGATATTCAATTGCAATCCCCAAAATTAACGTTCTTTCATTTTACTACTAATAATTATTCACACATGAATTCATTTATCATTTTCAAAATCATACTCCATTTATTCAAATTATATCGACGAAATAAGCAACAAAGTACTGTTTACATCTTGGTCAAGATTTCTCAGAGCAATAGTGGATGTTCCTGCGGTGTCTCTGACCTGAAAGTCCTAGGGTTTGAGACGTGAATTAGCTAGGTCGAATTAAGCTAGTGTCTAGAGAACCGCTCAAGCGGTCGTTACTCTGGGCGATAGTTTTCCATGGTTTCCCCGGTCAACACATGGCGAATGCCGGAGAAGTACTCTAATGAACGGGCAGAGGACCGCATGCGATAGTTCATTTCTCATACATTGCTCATTCTCTCCTCTTAAACACACATTTACACGGGCAACAATTCCACGTATGTCGGGAGACCAGCCGGGAGACAGCCCAGAGACCATTGTGGAGTGCCACGTTAGAGGAGATCCCTACAGGAGGGAAACTCAAGCCGACGAGTGGGTGTCAGGTTCCAACGGGGGAGGAAGACCGCCCTAAAACATTCTTACGTCAGTTATGACGAATATATTATACAGAAATGATTTACAAGTTATCGTATTATTGTCCTTGACGTATTGCTATAATAACGTGTACTATATTTTGTCATTTAATTAATGGCTTAATTACGATAATACAACAACTGAAGACATTTTATAGACCAAACACTATATTTCTTAAATTGAACGGCATACTACATTCCATTGCATACCAGTACTGGTGTCAGTGTGTTCAGTAGGACAATTGATTATAATCTGAATTTCTATTATCAGTACTATAATTATAAAAAGTAGATATAATAGCAGATGAAGAGGTGTGTATATTTGCTTATATTTCTTAGGTACAATCCTAAATATAACTCGTTATCCTGTCAAATCGCCGGGCGAGTCACAGATTCAAAGTGATAATTGAGGGAAAACAGTAATTTTGACCGACACTATTCGGTCTCTCCTGAGTCAAGGATGTTCGATCCAGAGAAGAAATTCTTTTTAACCAGAACCTCCCTTTGGGTCTCTTTTTGGCAATCTAGATGTCAAGAGATGATGCCAATTTTTGTCCACGCTAAACGCCATTCCTTCCATTTTCAAAGTGCCAACGGTGCCAAAGTGCCAACTCGCTCTAACGGTACACAGACGACGTTATTGACAACATTGCTCCCGAGGAAGTTGAAGAGTAATCAGAACCAAGAGTGCGAAGAATGCAGAGGTATCTCCCGGTCCCTTATAATGAGCGAAGGCGGAAACGCAGCAGCGGTGGCTGCACAGGCTGCACGCCGATGACGAGCACGAGGGGTGGACGAGGCGGGCGGGCGGCCACTGCTCCCGGATGCGCCACCGCCAGCGCCACCGCCGCGCCGCGGCCGCGGGGGGTCCCGCCCGGTCGCCGCGCCCCGGCTCCGCCGCCGCGCCGCCTCCCGCCGCGCACGCACGAACCGCTGGCCTTGCAAAGTATTCGGCGCCAGTGGAGGACGACTATTGAAGGTGATGGCTATGGCCTAGCGGCGGCGAGGAGTGGTAGAGGTGGCGCGGGGCGGGATCTGGGCAGGGTGTGCCGTGACGGCGGCCGCATCCATCATGCTTGGGCGAAGGGGAAGGCGGTTGTGGATAAGGCGCCGCGCGACGTGGTGGTGGCGTGGTGTGTGGTGGTGGTATGTGTGTGGTGTGTGTGTGTGTTGTGTGTGCTGTGTTGGTGTGTGTGTTTGTGTGTGGTGTGTGTGGTGATGGGGTTTTGGTGGCCGGCAAAGAAGCAGATGGTGGTGGTTATGGATCCGCAGCGACGGTGTGGTGTGCCTGTACTGGTGGTGGTGCGGGCGTCTAACAACTTCATCTTTCGACGAAGTAATTGCTTTCTCTCGAAGCTCAACTCTGTTTCTCTTTACCGCTTCATTAATAGGGAGGTTGAGAGCGCTGAGTAAGAGGTTCGCAGCAAGCGCCGTGATTAATGATAAACAAGAAACGATAATGTACGTATGAATAATGATGCGAAACGAATATGAAATAATGGAAAGTGAGAAACTCCAGAAGAAATTTTGGTATTCATAATGATTCCCGAATGGATTGCTTCAGATATGACTTCATAGTAATGGTTTGATCAGATATGACTCACAATCCCTTCAGAAAAGATGTTCGATCTCACGATATGTCAAACCCGGATCGCCAAATATAATTACATAATATATTCTCACTAGTTTACAATAGTTTAAGTTCAACCGCTGGGAGCGGATAGATTTTCAAAAGGCTAAAAAATCCTGCAAAGTGACATGCAGTAAGTTGGGGTTTCTGCTGCCAGAAGAAATGTCGCTAGCTCATCAAAATTATAGCTTGACAATTCTCAACCTAATCAGTATACGCAGAAGAATTTCACATTAAGGAATAATCAAAAACTGGAGAGGTGTAAGTAAGACCGAAGTAACGTCGACCTTTAGACGAATATCGCGACAGATGTGTGTGGTGTGTGTGGTGTGTGTGTGTGTGTGTGAGGGGCGGGTGTTTGAGAACTTATGCGAACGATGGCAACTGCTATCAGCGTGTCATCCCGTTGCAACAGGTTAACCCATGATTAATATGCCTCTGGGTGCCACAGAAACAACGAAATCACCCTCCAATATTTGAATGTATTTTATTCATGTCCCCCTTGCGTTTCTGTTGACCCTATTAGAGATCTCGTACGTGGTTGTGTCAAGTGTGGTAGCGTCCACCGCGGGACGTAAAGGGAACCGGTTGTCGACTGTAAAAAGCCTAGGGAAAACACTTTCAGTCCCCCTCCGCTTCCTCCATTTTTTCCCCGTCTTCACCTATCGTGTGAAAAGCCGTCCGCACCCGCAGCTGCGCAGCGCGAGTGGCAGCGTCTCCGGTAGATCGCTGCGGCGGGCGGCGTGCTTCCAGCGCCGCCCGCCCGCCCGCCGGGCAGCAGGCTCTAATAAAGACAGGTGCGTCGCGGGCGGCGCCGCGCTTCGCCTCGCCTCGCCTCCACTCGCCTGCGCGAAATTATCGGCAATTCCTCGGCCCGGCCCTCGCGCCGCGCACCATCATTTTCATCATTTGCCAAGGTCGCCGCCGCCGCCGCCACCGCGAGAAGCTCCAATGCCGTCATGACTCGCCGAAAATCGCGAGACGCCCGGGCGTAGTTCCGTGTCCCGCGCCGCCCGTCATTGTTTCGTGCTCCCTTTCACCCGTTGTTTTTGTGTGACAGATGAGACGCTAATGGAATTCGTACGGCCGTGAACAACATGACGTCGTTGATGACGGACGGAACCTCCGAAGTGGCGGAATGGCCGATTTTTACGTTTTGGAATCAAAGATTCAGGTTTTGCTTGTTGATAAGAAAATGTCCAAAGAACACTAGAAATTTTGGGTTTTAAGATAGAAATTAAAGAACATATCTGACCTTTACAATTTATTTATGATAAATTGTAAATGTCAGTAAACTCGTACGTGCTATGAGAAACATGAAGGTTTTTGGAAGGAGCTTTCAGAAAAATATTACAATAAATAAATATTTAATACTATTACATGGAAAGTGAAGATGTACATTATTAACATCAAAAAGGGGTTTTCCTTCTTCAGGTATTTTGTTTACTCATAGGAGGTTGCCTACCAACAACGGCGATAAGCTATTTTGACGCACAATATTTGGGTTCGCCTGTGGCAGCTGAGGACGCGCGTACCACTGGGTTTGTCAATGCGTCAACATATACTACAAAGGAGATATACATCATTACTCTATGGCGTGATGTTGTGTCTGACAGCGGAGCGGGGAAGGGAAGCTGAAAAATGAACGAGAAAGTGAGGAAGAGAAGGAACGAAAGATGAGTAAACGATAGAGGGTGAGAGAGTGAGGGACCGACAGGGACAACGAGCGAAAACGAAAAATAAAATGAACTAATCCAAGATAATATTTGCCGAATACGTTTAATATCCGTGGAATTTAATATTAAAACTTAACTCGTAATGATCCCTTAGAATATTTGATATTAAAAGTTTTTGTGGAAATATTTCCTTTCCGTTTGACTAAATTTCTCTAATGGTTAACTTGTGTTAACGTGCGCCTGTTGCCGACGAATACCATGTTTCCCACGTAATTATTGCTTGATTGCTTGTTTCAAAATGAAGTATTTTTATACTATTTTTAAAAGAATAAAAAATGTGTTCAGAGTATTAAATACGGATAATTTCTTGGTATTTTCTTCATGATTACACGATATTAGTTACCTAACCGTCTAAAGCAAGTCAGTTTAATACGCAGTTTTCTGCAAATGTGATGTATTCCTTGGAAATCGCTTTAAAT